CTATGCTTAACACCACGTTACTTAGAACAATATAAAAGCATATGGACCCTAAAACTAAGTCCTTAGAAAACATTTATTATTATTTATTATTTTCAAGTTCTCTATAAGAGATACTACACTTTCATTTTGGATTTCAGTAGACCTGGGCTTGATTCCCAGCTCTGTCCACTTACTAACCTTGACCATGTTATTCAATTTCATCAAACCTCAGCTTTGTATCTGTAAATAGGGATTGTGATAATAATTCATGTTGTGTCCAAGTTTTAAAAGATAATGTAAATGTAAAATTTGCAAAGCATTGTTTAATACACTGAAATTCTGTAGTATGTATTTGCTGTTTGTATTATTGTCTGTATAGATCTCAGAGGAGGATTAGAGAGGCCAATGCTTAATAGCAAGAGTTGGCAGACATGTTTTGTTAAGGGGCAGCTAGTAAATATTTTAGGCCTTGGCAGTCACACAGTCTCTATCATACCTATTCATCTCTGGTGTTGTGCAAAAGCAATCATAGATGATATGTCAACAAATGAGTCTGTCTGAGTTCCAATAAAACTTTATTTACAGAAACAGCATGCTGACTTTGACCCGTGAGCCATAGGGTGCACACCTCTACATAACATTGAAGTTAGTAAAACTACTTTGTCTACTATAAGTTTCACTTTATTCTCAAGTTTTTGAGATACAAAAAAATTAAAATGTATAATATAAAACTTATTTGGGGGGTCAGCATTTCCAAAAACATTATTCAGAAATCTTTATGATTGAAAGATGTTGGACTGGAAAAGCAAGGCATGGAAAGCTGCTTGTGGATAGATAGAAGAGAGAGGGAGTTTGAATGAAATTCTCTAAAAGAAAAAGCACAGAATTTTTATACTAAATTTGAACCTTAGGCAAGAGGCCTAGATTTCTGAAAACGAGGAATCATTACTGTAATATACAAACAGGAACTAATTTAGAGTCTTAAACTGAAAGTAGATTCTGCAAAATCTTTTCAGCTGCATGAGATCACCCTTCACCAAAAACGTTCCAGAATTTTCTTCCTAGCCCTAGTGTGAGTCCCATCCCTGGCTTGATTTCCAACTCCAGAAGTGAAAGAGAAGGCTAGTTAGCAGTTTTCACTGGTTCATTCATAATTCATGCAGCAAATACCATTTGAGCACCTACAGTGTTAGCCACTCAGATGAGTTTTCTTTGGTAGGTTTAGTTAAAAGGGTTAGAGAACAAGCAGCAGATAAGATGGTTGTATGGATTCTAAATACATTATTTCCCTTATTTAATACATGAAATGTGGATAAAACTTAGAAAGCAGCTATAAAGTTTGTTAAGATAAAGTTATATTTGGTTCCTTTCTCCTCTCTTCTTTCCCTCCCATCCAACTGTGGAGCCATGAATTAGAATCTTATAAATGAAGGTACTTTGTGGTTGTCAGTCTTTTTTCCAAATTGACATACTACCATAATGTTTTAAATGGATTTTCTTAATTTTGATAGTCTTTATATAAACACGTGTGTTTTATTATTAAAATTTTAATTTCCCACAAGTAAGCTTTTAGAAAATACTTCACCATTTTCAGTTAGAAAATGTCTAAGTGTAATTAATTGCTTCTAAACCTTCCAAAGAAGAAAAATTGTGTGTATTTAATAGTAAATCAGCTGAAAACTAAAACTAAAATTTCTATAATTTGAATGACTGAAGTAGTCATTTTTGAAAGAAAAAAATGCCTAAGTTGAAGGTTGCAAGTAAATGTATAGATGGGATAACAGTTACTCATTATTTAAAATGAGTTCATATTTATATCATTGAAAGTTTGATGCATTTGGGAGGATGACATCAGCAAGAGAAAGTTCATTTGGTGTGACGTTAACATTTCAGAATACGTCAAGTAAGAGCAAGTTGATGTTATAACTTTGTCCTTTCAGACTTTCTTTCTTTCTGTTGTGCCATCTGTTTTTCTGTATTGTAAAGTTCCAAATAAAGTATTAATGTGTTGTCACCTTGTTTGCTTTGCCCCCTCAGTGGTAGATTTTACATATAAACCCATTGCTGTGTTGTAATTTATAATTGTGGTATTGTTTGACACACTGATATTAGTCCCCGGTACAGTAATATGTGATTCTTTTTTGCAAAGTTATATCCTAAATAAGGACTTTTAACCTGGGGAATTGGGTAGGGAGGAGGACAGAGAGAATTAGGAAAGGAGGGACTATATTATAACATTCATCTCAAATGGATCTGTCATTTTTATTAAACACTGCAGTCTTAAGGAATTCTGAATTCCCAGTGGGGAAGAATAATACTTAACTGTAATTGAAATTATTGGGGACTTCGACTCAACTATATAGAATTTTGTAAATTTAATACTTTTGCTGCTTTCTATTGTCAAGTGTCCAATATTTAATTTACATGCTGTGGTACAAAGTGGTTACACATATGCTAATTTAGTCTACTGTTTGTTAGGTAGCTTTTGGGACACTGATCTCTTGTGACAGTACGGTATGTACCTATGCCTTGGAACTCAGTGGCAGCAATGCAGCAATGTGTACATGTGTACATACCTTACAGATCAAAGGAAGAGTATTATTTGTTTCTTTTCACCTGAAGAAAGGCCTAAAAAACATTCTGTGTAGGAGTCGGCCATTTCACTTAGAAATAGCATAAAGAGTACTATTTCATTGTAGTGTTTATTATTCAAATAAACCTAATGCTATATAATAGAGGCCTGTAAGAAGTACTAGTCTAGTGAATAATCCCCACCAAGCCACACTGTGGAGGAGCATGAAAAGATTTTGCTGTTGAAGAGAAATTCTGAAACTGTTAAAAGCATACCACTTATTTGTTAATATGTTTGTGTTTCATTTTAAAACTAGGAGAGTAAGGGAGAAAAAAATTGAAAAAAGGTGGGAAAAATGGAGTGAACAGTGGCAGTCTTTTAAAAACCATGTAATTTCATATTAATTTAACCGCCTCCAGATTGGTTTTTCACAGATTTGGTTCTGTCCCTAAGTAATATTCTTGCCATTAATAGAATACTTTAATATTTTAACCTTTATTTTCAAAATGGTCTGCAATTCTAGTATTGAGTTCTTTGCTCCATCAGTAATTTAGAAGATTTAGTATTGGTTTGGTTCTGTGTGTTTTGTGTGTTATTTTTGTTCATTCATTTGGGTTTTTTTTCTTATGTTTACTTTGTGCTAAAGCTTTTGGTATTAATTTTGCTTTATTGCATTAGGCTTAGATAATGGGTTCTATAAGGTTTTAGACTTTGGAATGTACTGAAGTTTTCTTTGTTCTGTTAGAATTATATTTTATTAATATTCAGTGAAATAATAACGTACAATTTCCATAGAGCACAAAGTTAATATACATTAACAGTATCATTAATTATTAATCATGCCTGCTATGTCCTTACCTGCCAAAGACTGAGATGATTATCATAGTCTCTCTGTGCAGTGCTACTTTTGTCAGTTGTTTTCTTGCCATTCTTCAGACAATTCATAACTAGCTTCACATTTTTTAAATGTAAAATGAACACCTTTTCCATTTACTTTTTTTGCTTTGATTCTACTTTATCATGTACTAATACTACTCTTCCTAGCTTTTTAGATTTATGTGCCGTGTGTGTGTGTGTGTGTGTGTGTGTGTGTGTGTGTATATTTTTTTTTTTTTTGAGACAGTCTCTCGCTCTGTCACCCAGGCTGGAGTGCAGTGGCTGGATCTTAGTTCAGCTCACCGCAAGCTCCGCCTCCCAGGTTTACGCCATTCTCCTGCCTCAGCCTCCTGAGTAGCTGGGACTACAGGCGCCCGCCACCTCGCCCAGCTAGTTGTTTTTTTGGGGTTTTTTTTTTTTTTGTATTTTTTAGTAGAGACGGGGTTTCAGTGTGTTGGCCAGGATGGTCTCGATCTTCTGACCTTGTGATCCACCCGTCTCAGCCTCCCAAAGTGCTGGGATTACAGGCTTGAACCACCACGCCCGGCCGTGCCTAGTATATTTTTGACCATTAAAATTTTTTTTTCACATTTTCATATTTTGCTTTTAGGTATCTCTCAATAGCAGCTTCTGGTTGGCAATTTGTTTGCTTCTCTTTTTGTTGTTTTTTAACAAAATTCAAGATTCTTCTTTATCTTTAAATTAGACGTTAAGAGCCTAGCACATTGAACCTGTAATCCCAGCTACTGGGGAGGCTGGGGCAGGAGGATTGCTTGAGCCCAGGAGTTCAAATCCAGCCTGGACAAGGCAGTGAGATGTTGTCTCAAAAAAAAAAAAAAAGAAAGAAAAAAAGAGGTATATATCTCAAACTCTCTCCAAATATCATTGCTATAGATAGTTTCTCTCTGTAGTCCTCTGGAATTTGGTGTTCTGAGGAAGCCACAAATATGAGACCAGTCTAATTTAATTTTTTTGGCATTAATGTGATTTTGACTTTTTAATTTTGGGGGTCTTTTTGCTTTATCTAAAGAAATTCTAAAACTGTATTTTTGGGAGGGGGAAAATCAACTGAATTTTTGCCTATAACACACTGAGTTCTTACAATCTATCGGCTAAGGCCTTTCCTGAGTTCAGAAAACTTTTTAAAACTTTCTATTCCCATTCTGGTTCTGTATCATTTGTAAGTTAGAACTTTACACTCCTAATACCAATCATCTTTTTCTTTAAACATTTGTACGACTTTATTACCTCAGTATTCTGGGAAAATTTCTTAAGTTTGTTCTCAAGTCTTTGCTTGAGTTTTCTTAATTTGAATAGTGTTTCCCAACTCTACTGACTATGGTACATATTTTAATTTTGCAATTGCAGTTTTAATTTCCTTGCTATATGTCACTTTCTCTGCAGCTTCCCTTTCCTATCAGCCTGTACCTCAGTTTGTTTACTTTGTGTGTTTGCCTGTTCTCTTCTTAAGACACCCTTACTTATTGAGCCCATGTCTTTTGGATTCCATTTTGATTACTCTGTAGATGTTTTCTAAAGTTAAGTTTCTTTTCTTTTTTTTAATTAAAAACCAAAAAATGGGGACTGCTTCATGAATTTGCGTGTCTCCCTTGCAGAGAGGCTGTGCTAATCTTCTGTGTATTGTTCCAATTTTAATATATGTGCTGCCGAGGCAAACACTGAAGTTAAGTTTCTTATATTAAATCATTTCAGAGGTATGTATTTCCTTAGAGTTTTTTTTTTTCTTTATTTTCTTTTTCTACTACATTTTAGAGGAAATAATTTTCAATATATTTCTTTTGCCCTATGATTAGTTTTTATACACCTACCTCCATATTGGTTTTCTTCGTTACCTATCCTTTAAAGGGGAAATACTATCCAGAGTTAGGGTGTGCTAGCAGTTAGGATGTGAGGATTGCTTCTGACCACACTTAAAACGTGCTTATGTACTAGAAGAATCCTAGTGCTGGTGGTTCTTTTATGTTCTCTATTGCCTAAGGCATAACTTCATTACATTGTTTAAAAAAAAACATGAAATCATGAAGACTGAAAAAGATAATTTTTTTTTAAAGAAAAAAAGTGTTAGGCTTAGCCCAAGCTTTATTACCTCTTCATGGTAGCTTGATTAGACCCCTCCCAGGCTGGGCTACATCTCCTTTTCTGTATTCCCAAAACAAACTCATAGCCTGTACCGCAGCTTTAATCACTTGATATAATTTAATCACATTGTATGAATGGTTTACTTGTTGTCTTGCCTTTTATGGCTACAAATTCCTTGTGGGGAATGACTCCTTTTTCATCACTATCTCAGATGCTTGCCACAATTCCCAAAACTTTATAAGCTATCGGTAAATGTTTCATGAATGATTGAGTAACCAAATTGATGTCTTTGGAAAATATTAGAATAAACCATTTAATAAGCATAAAATACTAGAAGGAAAAAACAACTTGGCATTGTAAAGAGGAAAGTATACCATATAAGTTTCATTTCATTCTGTTGTTGCAGTAAAGCAGGAGGCAATACACTTCGTTTATCTTGATCTTAAAAATACAGATGTTCCATTAAAAAAAAAAAAAGCAGATGTTCCTCCTGAATAATACTGACAAAGTAGAAAAATCTTCCCTTGCTTGTAGTACTGTTAAAAAAAAGCAAATAACTCAGTGGGGATAGCCAGGTAGCATATATTAAGCTCTAGGGATATTCCCTGTACAGCCAATAACATTGCTTTCAGAAATTAGATCTAAGACGTGTTCTATTTAATATTTAATTTCTCTTCTCTGGATTAAAAATAGTTGATGGCACACTCACCAAATTTTCATGAGAATAATATCATCAGGTTGAATCAGTGAATTTCACCATTTATTTTCTTCAGAGTCAGCTTAATCTAATTCTATACTTTACACTCTTAACATCTTAACCCACCCAAGAATAGGTTTCAGTAGCAAAGCCAGGCATAGGCAATGAGTGTTAGTGTTTCCACAAAATACATAATCAACCCATAAGTACTTTTCCCCCAAACTCCAAGGCAAAGTGGTGTCTGTGACCCTATTTTAGGGACATTAAAATACAGAAAAATGTGTGCTTTGGAATCAATGAAATATGGAACTGTTATGTTGTATAAAATAAGAATTTTAGTGTTACAGGATATTTGATATTTATTACATGTCTAGAATTAGAATAAGTAAACTATGGTACATCCATTTGATAGAATATATGTATCTTTCAAGAATGATGTCTCGTGAAAGAATACATAGTGTGATGACAACTTTTTAAAGCAACTATTTTCATAGAAAAGGATTAAACACAATTATAGCAGAGTGGTAACAATGGTTGTATTTTGGATGGTAGGCCTTGCTAAAATAATTTGTAATTTCTAGATTTTATTTTATAAGTGGGTATGTGGTGGCAATGGGGTGGTGTATAACACTTATCAGGGGATCAGTTAGAAATCATGCTATACTGATTTTCTTTTTTTGAAGTTTCTAGACTGTTATAAAGATAATCTGAAATACTTACTGAAATTTGAATGTTTCAAAGATATCCTTGGGGAAATGATGGGGAAGGATGATTGGCTCAAAGTGTCATGAACTAAATCAGGGATCAGCACATGATAGGTCTCTCTGACCCATTAGTGACTCAAATTCAGGATAACAGCAAATCAATGAAAATATTTAGTTTAGTTACAGTGTATTGTGACTGCCAAACACAATTAATAACCTAATGTAAAAATAAGAATTGCTTATGCTGTGTGTCTGCAAGGGATGGAACCATAACTAGTAAACAGTGAAGTTTCCAGTACTGAGAGCAGGAATGGACTGATCAGCAAGGTTCTGAATTACCTTTCATTAGAGATACTCAGTTATAGGTTGGGCAGACACAGGCAAGGATTGAAACATAGAATGGGTGGCTGAATGAGATGACATTCAGAGCCCCTTCCAACACCGAGATTGTATAACTTTCAGAGACCCTAATAACGTTTTTAAAATACCACTTTTTGAAGTAATAGCTGTTTGGTAGGCAACAGGTTGCATTGTGACAAAGCTGTTGTAAGTGTCTGTGGGAATTATTAAAATAAGACTGCTATGCACAAGTCACCCACAGACATTGTAGGCAGTATATAAACAAGTAAGACATTGCTCTTTCATTGTCCTTTCTTTAATGAAGTTTTTATTAAAGTATATAAATAACAAATACCTGATCGAATAGAGGTAAATGTAATGAGATACATATAAACAAGAACTATGAGGATTAAAGGAAGGCAATTATATATCAAGAATATTAGGAAAATACCAATAATATTTAACTTTTTTAAGTTGAAAAACTTGTCCAGTGCCCAATCCTAAAATGCCACGTGTCTTAGTCAGTTTAGGGTTGTTATAAAGGAATATCTGAGGCTGAATACTTGATAAAGAACAAGGTTTATTTGGTTCATGATTCAGTTGTCTAGCAAAGTTTAAGCTTGGGCACCTGCATCTGTGAAGGGCCACAGGCTGCCTCCACTCATGGCAGAAAGTTAAGGGGAGCCAGGTGTGGAGAGGTCACATGGTGAGAGAGGAAGCAAGGGAGGGAGGAGGTGCCAGGCTCTTATTAACACCAGCTTTCACAAGAACTAATGGGATAAGAACTCACTTATCCTGTACCCAGTGAGAACATTAATCTGTTCATCAGAGATCCCATTCCCATGACCCAAACACCTCTCTTTAGGCCCCCACCTCTAATATTGGGATCAGATTTCAACATGAGATTTTCCTGGACACACATCAAAATTATAGCGCTACGCTTTGGCATTGGAATAAATGATACAATAATTAGTTTCTCCTCTGACGTGGAACTCACCAACTTATTGATGTAAACTGGTCATGCATTGTCACTTTTTTTTTTTTTTTAATTTTTTAACAGTAAGAGGAATTCAGGTTAGGACCGAGGAAGACTCAGAGAAGCTAATCTCAGGTTGCCAGAATGTAATCTTAAGACCTTTCTTGGGTTCCATTTGGTTTAGAATTTCACATAGACTTTCTCCTTTCCACTATAATCTAAATCCTCATCTTACTCTTAGAGGCACCAGAAGTCAACCCATCCTATAGCATGTTATGGTTTCTATGGTAGTTCCAGATAGAGTGTATGTATTTAATTTAAACTACTCACCAGAATAGGCTATGAAGTAGTAGAGTTTCATATGTGTATTATTACGTATGTTACTTACATATATGGAATATACCATATTTAGAGAAAATAGCTTCAAAACAACTTAGTATGTTTTAATATAATACAGTCTAGGTTGTGTATTTAATAACTGACAGACTTCATTTTGCAATGAAAGGAAAGAGTTTTAAGAGTAAAGGGAAGCTTTGTATTTGCAACATGGAGACCCCTGACCTCAGCATAAATGGTTATGGTAATAGTGTTGAGGGTGGAAGCCAAATTAGAGTGGACAGTGAAACACTGGAGATAGCAAATATAGACAATCCTTTTGTAAAGTTTAGCCCTGGAAGGGAGGAAAGAGAACAGTAACTGAAGGGCAGATGTCAAGTCCCATGAGAGGTTGCTGCTGTTGCTTTCTTAGTGGAAGAGCTGTGAATGGCACATGCTGGTGAGAAGGAGCCAATGAAACAGGAGAGGTTGAAAACACCATCAAGAAAAGAAATAAACATGAAGTTTCCCCAAAAAAAGAAAGAAGGGACGATATACAGAACATAGGTGAGGGGTGGCTTTTGATAGGATGAGAGGATGGGTCAGTTCCAAAAAGGTGTGGTAGAAGTTCATGAGGGAGATCATGTCTGAAGGCAGTCTTCTGTATAAAGAAGGATATGGGCTTATCTGCTGAGAATGAAGGGGAAAGAGAATACAGAAAAGTCTAAGGCCTATAATAAGTAGAAGAGGTTTAAAATAGTCTCTGTGGAAAGTGGAAGAGCCAGAGGAAAAGGAAAACATGTAACATTTCCATGTGAGCTAAGGAACGTGTTGGGATTGCGTATCTCTCTTCTCTATCCCCAGAATTTGGGAAAGAAAATTAGGTTTTGTTTTTCTCTGTAGCCGGTAACGTTTTATGAAGTTAGAATGAAGATTACAGAATAGATGACTTTATCTCTGCTGATGTCACTAAGGCCTAGAGTATAGGCTGGAGGCAGGGAAGAAAGGAACTATATAGAGCAATATCTTCCTTTCCTATTTCATCACTACTGTTGGACCTGCCACCCATCAAGACTGCTGAAAACCTGGTGAAATTGTCATTCAGCACGCCCTAACCATGGGATCTGCAGATAAAGACAGCTTTAATTCTTCCTTTTCAAAATGGATGCCTTTTATTTCTTTTCATGCCTGGTTGTACTGATTAGAACTGCTAGTGCAACACTGAAGTTGTAAGAACAGACATCGTTGTCTTGTTCCTGATCTTAGGAGGAAAGCATTCAGTCTTTCACCGATTAAATATGATCTTAAATGTAGGTTTTTTGTAGGCCAAGGAAGTTTCCTTCTTATCCCAGTTTGCTAAATTCTGATGAGAAATGCATATTGGAGTTTTTTTTAATCCATTGAGATGATCAATCATATGGCTTTCTCTGTTTGTTAGAATGGTAAATTATATTCACTGACTTTTCGAGTATTAAATCAACCTTATTCCTGGGATAAACGCCACTGGGTCATGGTATATCATCCTTTTTACATAGTGTTGGATTACATT